GAAACATGTAATACCACAACAATCTGAATCCAGATCAGTCTATGTGCAAAATAGTAATCTGTCTGTGACGAGGGATTTTTGTTGAGGGGTCATACATGTACATTATCGGACCAGATAAGGAACATGTTTTCTAGGCCAAATAGGTAGGATTTTGTAATAATATATAGCAAAACAACCTAAAGAAACAGCATTTATGATTCTTGCGATTAGCAAAAGTATTGTTTATACTATCTCTGTCATTTTCAATCCCTGGCATTAGCATGACCCCTCCCATTGGTCAGTAAAAGTCTCGGATTTCGGGCACTTCCTATTGCGTGATCGAATAATTTTCATAGTTTTCTTTTTATATCAACTAAAGGTTTATTTTTTTAATCATTTGGCCACTGTTCCTGAAATATGGCCTATTCAATTTTCACGACTTTTCCAAAATGGGCCGCCGATATTCAAATGAACTGATACGCTAATTGCCATTGGAGGCCGCCATATTGGATTTGACGTAGGTCAAAGGTCAATCGAAGTAAACTGGCGATAACACCATTGACCATGGCCGCCCTGCTTACTTTATTAAGTTTTCGTATAATCTATACATGGTTACAGGCCCTATACATTATTGACCTTTTTATACTTTACTTTTATACATTTTTACTTATGACAGAGAATACGGATTTGACCGTAGATAACTTTTTAGCGTGGAAAAGTGATAGATTACACTTGGTGAGGTCAAGGGTGTAGGCCTATCGAAAAAAGCAGGGACTGAATTCGGCGCGTTGTGTTATTCGGTTTAGAAATTACCCGTGGTGAGGTTCAGTAAAACAATCGCCGTAAATAATATATATATAGTGAGAGTTCGATCTTAAAGAAACCCGATATACCCATAGGCGTACAAGTGCGGGGGATTTTTCTGGTAAATGGGAAAAGTGAACCAAAAAAAACCCCCGAAATGAAGTATTTTTTTTATAATAAAACTTGTACTGATCACGAGAGATTAAATTATTCTGTCTGGGGCAGCTCTCGATCCATAGCTGCTTCGTTCGAAATTTTATGTGTATCGGTTATAAAAGCTATATTTTTCATCATTTTTATACGCCCACATTGAAATGTGGTCGTATATTGTCGTCACCTCCGGCCGGCCGGCGGTCCGGCTTCCACAATTGCTTGTGGACGCTCTAAAGGCTAAAGTTAATATCCGATTGACTTTAAATTTATACACAGTGTTTAAGGTCATGAGACGAAGAAGCCTATTGATTTTCAGCGATTTCCGATAATTACTGCCAGAGTTATGGCCCTTGATCACTTCAAAAAATCTTGTGGACGCTCTAGAGGTCAAAGTTAATATCCGTTTGACTTCAAATTTATACACAGTGTTTAAGGTCATGAGACAAAGAAGCCTATTGATTTTCACCAATTTCCGATAATTACTGCCAGAGTTATGGGCCTTGATCACTTTGAAAAATCTTGTGGACACTATTGACTTCAAATTTATACACAGTGTTTAAGGTCATGAGATGAAGAAGCCTATTGATTTTCATTGATTTCCAATAAATACTGCCAGAGTTATGGCCCTTGAAAAATCTTGTGGACACCAGGGCTCGACACTGCCGGCGGCCTCAGCGACCATGGCCTTCGAATTTTAGAATTTGGCCGCAGATTCATGGCCGATTTTTAACTATCCACGGCCATGTATGGTCGCCGATTAGTGCTGGGTATCGAGAGTTATTTTTACTATCGATAATCGGTATCGAAACAATCTTATTTTCACGATCGTAATGAAGAATGGATTACGTGTTTTAAAGTCAAACCATACAATGTTTTTGTTCGTCTAATTAATAATAAACTGTCTCATATTACGTATAAATTGTTTAAATAATGTAGCCTTGGTTCTGAATGACGAAATACCATTGATGGGCCTATGTATGTGCAGGAACCAAAATAAAATGAGCAAGAGTCGATTCAAAACATTGCGTACGTGAGCGCGACAAATACCAACATGGTTGACAAATCGTTATCGATTCGTGTGCAAAAACTAAAGAAAATGTAATAGCCTAAAGAGCTTGTTATCACGAATTTGTAAGTTGTTTATTATTATTAAAAAAATACAGCCTTGATTCCGAAAGAAGAAATACAAACATTTTTGTCATCCATCATTGCTATATGAGCAGACGAATTCTGAAAGGGGAAAAACTCTGAATTATTTACACATCCGGGTATCTCCAATTTAGCAAGGCCTAGAAATGCGGCTTTTCTTGACTTTGCCTTTTTAAAGTAGCTAAGTCTTTAACTCAGTATCATCAAAAATCTTCGGCATTGAAAACACAAATTATTTGTCAATTCAAATCAACATTGGTCTTGTGATCTTACAGGGAAAAGGTGGGCTTCTGATATCCAATATTCAAGACAAAATAAACATTTTATCATTTGTACACGAATTGTGTACCATAATGCGTTTCAGCGCCATTTGGAACAGGGGACTCAAAGAACAGGGTTAGACATATTCCACAAGTCATGTCAAATGGTGACGCTATATTCTTATCTGGAGAGCATGCGCAATAAATACCATCGGTGTAGACTGGAAAAAACAGACGCTAAAGATTGCCATTCACATGAGACTTCTGGCGAATTTCGCCAAACATAACTGATTAGAAATTACAGTAAAAACAGAAACTATTAAATATAAATCAGTTTATACATTCATATTACATTATTATATGCGTTGCGACCCATTTTTGTCCTTTTCTAGGTCCCAAATATTAGCGATTTAGCTCCTTTAACATTGAATTTTAATTGTTTTAATGAACTGGAAATACACAGGTGACAATTCTATGGATTGGAAATCCTAATTATCACGAAACGTCGCTCAGTAATAAACAGTATTTGTATTCCATAGAAGTGACCCGTACATTGCTTTGAAAGCAAAGTCTTATCTAGTAGACGTCATTTTTGCTCCGATTGAACTTTGACCTCCGAGATTCAAGATGGCGGAACTGACATCGGCAATTGGTCTATTGTTCAAAATTGATGAAAAGGATGTTATTGGAAAGGTAACGGAACAAGGATTCCCAATCTGCTATTATTTTTGACACTCAAATGTTTTACCAAGTGGTGACGTTTTGATCTTTACTTTGACCTTGAATCCGACCTTGTGGCTGACGTGTTCTTGCGACGACTTTTCATTCAAAACATAGCCCTATATGTTTTCTACTCACTATAGCTAGAACATACAATATTATTCATTTGTCTGTTAAAATTCAGTGTTTTTGCACTTCAAGATTTGCGAGCTACTGTGGCTCAGTGAGTAAGATGTTCGCCCGCTAACCCGAAGATCCAGGGTTCGATCCCGGCATTAGCTGAGTAAGATGTTGGCTCGGTCACCTTGAGGTTCTGTTTTGGATCGCTACATTGGCCGGGAAAGTTCATTGGGATTTTCTGGTTTAGTTTCTCCTTGTTAGTGGTGCAGGACCTAGGGCCAGGCAAGGGACAACGTATAGTCGTTCAGATAAGATGAAGAACCGCGGTCCTGTGTATACATTGACGTGCACTTAAGAAGCCTTGACAGTTCGAATTTGAAAAAAGAGTAGGCCGTATTGCATATGCTCATCTTCATTAGCCCAGTCAGTGCAGAACAGTAGGACGCTAAACCCCATTTCATTTCCTTGCATTTACTGCCGAGACATTCTTCTTGTAAGTCAGTTAAATAAACGATGATATGAAATTTATAATAAGAAATAATAATTTAGTTTCAATCCCGAATAACGAAACATTATTCAAGCTCGAAAAACAAAATGGATTGATTTATGTCATAGAATTTGGCAGTTGGAATTCGATATATGTGTGGGCCCTAACAAAATTTCCCTCATAGCTCACTGTATGACATATGCCCGTCTTTGTTAGCCCAATTGGAGCAGAACAGTAGGACGTTAAACCTCATTACATTTTATTCTATTGATTCTATTTTTGACTATGATCTGAGGATATGTATTAGCCTGCTGCTAACTTTCTAAAAGATGGCTAACCATTTTGTCTGAAGACATTCTTTATAGGGCACTTCTGTAATCTGAAAATTCTGGTTGATCTGTCTAATCAAGGTGAAAGATACTTTACCATGATCATAGGCATCCCAAAGTTAGGCTGCCTATCTACAGTTACATGTAGATCCACCTGAGAACAGGCCCTATCCTAACTAACAGACATTTTAATTCCTACTTCGGCGATTTTAGTCGAAAACACTGAGTATGCGTTCAGAAATATTTAAAGTGTTTATTTCTTTTCTATTTTCATATTGAATGAAATTTAATATGTTTATTTAGCCGTTGTGTGTATGAAAGATGTCAAACGGATTAGAGCTAAAGCACAAAATAGTCCACTAATTATTCAACATGGCAGCGCCCATGAAAGATACGTTCACAGAAGCGGCTTTGTTTGCGAAGACAAATTTAGGAGTATCTAACCTTGTTTTGAAAGATAAACAGATTGAAACTCTAAAGACAGTTTACAATGATAAAGACTGTATTGCAATATCACCCATTGGCACATATTGTACATCGCTTTTACTGGCGTAGCAGAAATTGACATTTTGCTAACTTGATATATTTGTTTACATAAACCACATGCTTCAGGAATAAATAGCAGTATATATACGTCATTGACAGTGCAAGTCGATAAGTCCCGCCCCAAAATGATCACGTGAGTGTTTTAAATGGACGTCATTTAGCGCAGTGATGTATTCTTGAGGTATGAAGTAGATGCATCGCTGTGTGCAGTATGGATCATAGGCCCACAATTGCCTTTCTTATACATGTAATAAATCGATAAAGTTGTGTTTTTATTAATGTTATATACCCGCACCGCTACTTCTAAATGGCATATATACGGAGATATGTTAGATGATAATAGAGAAACTAAATGAAAGTAACTTCTAGAGGAGTATTTGGTTTCAGATTTTTTTGTTTACCTTCTAGTTTTTCCAAAGTAAAGTAATATTTTATATATATTTTTACTTTAAGACATGTTAGCCATGTTGGATGGGATCCTAATAAAGGTTTTGATGTAAGTATACTACTTTTTGTTTACGTTATATATTCCTTGCACCAACACTACAAACTAACATGCTTCATATTAACAGTTTTTAAAGCGACATTTACATATGTCATACCTTTAAAATATGTTAAAATAAAGCCTTAAAATACATGGCATCTATACACAGCCCTACCTTTTTAAAGAACAATCTTATTAAACCTGTAATTCACAAGTGTCAGTGGAGAAATTTGACAAAAAAATCATTTCCTTGTTAAACCTTTTGATTTTGAAAGCCATTTTAGCCATTTTAAAAACAAGGGAGGTAAATTTCCTCAGTCAACCGGGCATAATTATCCGTTCGATGTAGAGTTAGTTTTCCAGTGAAAAATGATACAAATTCCAAGTACCGTGGGCGAGTAGAGATATTTCCAATTTTTATGTGAATGCTTTTTAAGTGCTAGAATGATTCCTATGATTGTATAATAGTGATTTGGCAACCTATGAAGCAAGAGATATAGAAATAATTATGTTTCACTTTCTTAGAAAATATGAAGTTATTACTTTTTATACGCCCATATGGAAATGTGGTCGTATATTGTAGTCCTGCGGCTAAGTCGAAATATATGGCAGAATATTTCAGTTTGTGGAGAAATTATGAAACTTGGCACACTTATAGGGGACCCCTGTAGGATCATTTTTCGATTAGGACCCAACTCTGAAACGCCCCCTGGTGGCCGCCAATTTGAATTTCAAGATGGCCGCCATATTTGACATACTTTTGCCTATAACTCCGAAACTAAGGCAAATAGAAATGTAATTTCAGTGTCTACCCCCACATTTTTGGGGTCAAGGAATCCAGTAAATTCATTAGTTTGAACTTTTGATGTCGGCCATATTGGATTCCAAGATGGCCGCCATATTTGACATACTTTTGCCTATAACTTTGAAACTAAGGCAGATAGAAATGTAATTTCAGTGTCTACCCCCACATTTTCAGGTTTAAGGAATCCAGTAAATTCATTAGTTTGAACTATCGATGTCGGCCATATTGGATTCCAAGATGGCCGCCATATTTGACATACTTTTGCCTATAACTTTGAAACTAAGGCAGATAGAAATGTAATTTCAGTGTCTACCCCCACATTTTCGGGGTCAAGGAATCCAGTAAATTCATTAGTTTGAACTTCCGATGTTGACTACGTCGGCTCACGTCAATCCGATTGACTTGACTGTTGACAGTTATGACGTCATAAGGCTAATGAACTGACTATCCTCCAGTTTGTGAGGTCGGTACGAGTGTCCAATTTTGACCTGTACATTGCATCGCAAGCCGAGTTGATACCCTGGTTCTTCGCATTGGACCATCCAAATTATGCTCGCCGGTTACTGGTACATGTGCGGGATATGTTATCCTTGCAAGACAGATGTCCAGATGTCTTTCGTGAGTTCAAACGCGGAGCATTCACTGCCAAGAAGACAGTTCGGCCTTTCTCTGCCATTTCATTGGACCAGGCACATGAACAGATTAATGCACTGGTTAAGGGTGACGGTGGAGCTGTTGGACTAACTGAAAACCCCGGAGCACTTCGGAGATGGATGGTGGCAGGACCCGAAATAGCGAGAAAAGTTGAGGAGTTCGAGGACGGCTTCGACGAAGATGGGACTACCTCTAACGTCACGTGTCTGGATTGCCATCATGAGCAGACAAAAAGTGTCCAGGAGAAATTCGTTCATGATGTACGATCACTGGTGACCACGATCGAAGAGATGGGAAACCCGTTCATGGAGGAGAGCATAGACCTACTGAATCTGAATTCCAAAGTCGTCATGCCAGAGAAGGTCGTAAAAGACCTGAAGAACATCTATTCGCTGGGGAAGGAAAAATACTACCAATTCATGGAAGAGCGTTTCAACTCCAATTCGAAGTCAATTGGAGACACCATTCCACGCAACAAACTGGTCATGTTTAGCAAGCCTGGAACGGAGAAGACCAAGGCAGCAGGGAGGCTGTCTGAACTGAAAAATGACAGGGCTCTGTTTTCGAGATTGTACATTGCAAGTCAAACTAGAGAAGGCGATGTTGATGAATTCTTCCGGCACGAGAACCAGTCAACTCCACCGTCACTGGCAACTGGTGGTCCAATGCGCCAAGGTGACAAGCATAACCTTTTGGACTGCCTGAAAGAAAACTTAACACACAGTCATAATAATTCCTTGGATGTTGATTGTAAAGTTTTCGATGGACCTGCTGTAGTTCACTTTCTGGGTCCAGGAACCTGCTGTACCTTTGAGGATTATGCCAAGGTATTCCTACAATATGTGGTGAAGGAACTGGGCACTGTCCGTCGAATCGATATTGTATGGGATATTTAAAGGTCTGACAGTTTGAAAACCGTAACAAGAGAGAAGAGAGGCTGTGGCACTCGGCGTCGGGTTTCATCGTCCACAAGAATCCCCGGCAACTGGCCAGCCTTTCTTCGGAACACCGAAAACAAAGAGGAGTTTTGGTTTCTTGCACTGAAATGTGCGCACTTAAATGAAGGTACCAAAGTGACCTACAGCACGGTGGATGATCAAGTTGTGTGCTCATCTAGAGGAACCATAAGTTCAGCGCTTGCTGAGGATCTTCGTCCATATTAAGGACATGGCTCAGCAAGCACACACGAAAGTGATGATTCGCACTGTCGATACTGACGTGGTGGTCATGGCAGTTGCCTACAGACACATTGAGATACACCAGATAGTCAGCCGCATCGGGTCAGAGAAGTCGCAGGCACTGTCATTTTTCCATGCGTTTACAGGCTGCGACACAGTGTCATTCTTCTCAAACCGTGGAAAGAAGTCCGCTTGGCAGGCATGGGAGGCATATCCGGATGCTACAGAGGCCTTCCAAGCACTGTGTTCCAGGCCTCATGACATATCGAAGGTGACGATGGAGACCCTGGAGCGGTTTGTGGTCCTGATGTATGATCACACCAGCGAACTTCAAGGTATGGATGCTGCAAGGCGCCATCTCTTCTCAAAGAAGTGCAGGGAGATATACCTCTGACATCAGCAGCCCTACTGCAACATACGAAGAGAGCTGCATTCCAAGCAAGCCACATCTGGGATCAGTGCTTAGTGCCCAAGCCATTTGTTCCCTCACCAGGTGATTGGGATTGGGAGAAGTGCTATGGACAATGGGCAATTGTATGGACCACGCTTCCTGAGACCGCCAAGGCTTGCTACAAGTTACTTAGCTGCAAGTGCAAGAAGACGTGCAAGGGAAACTGCAAGGGCAAACCTGCAGTGTACTTTACTGTGTGCTTGCGATGGACAGTGTTATGGAAAATGATAGTCATTCGTATTGCTTTTATGGTTATTGTGTCTAAGGTTAGAAACTAGTATTTTACTTCTAACTTCTATTAATTGTTTACTTCTATACCAATCTCGTTTCAGATCTGGCAACCAAAAATCCAAGATGGCAGATGATCATTTGCCATAGAAACAAATAACCAAAAATAATTTTCTCTGGTAAAACGAGATTGCTTCTATACGCCATTGATGATGACGTCATTAGCCTTATGACGTCATAACTATTTCAAGTCAATTGGATTGACGTGAGCCGACGTAGTCAACATCGGAAGTTCAAACTAATGAATTTACTGGATTCCTTGACGCCAAAAATGTGGGGGTAGACACTGAAATTACATTTCTATCTGCCTTAGTTTCAAAGTTATAGGCAAAAGTGTGTCAAATATGGCGGAATCCAATATGGTCGACATCGAAAGTTCAAACTAATGAATTTACTGGATTCCTTGACCCCGAAAATGTGGGGGTAGACACTGAAATTACATTTCTATCTGCCTTAGTTTCAAAGTTAGAGGCAAAAGTATGTCAAATATGGCGGTCATCTTGGAATCCAATATGGCCGACATCGAAAGTTCAAACTAATGAAAATGTGGGGGTAGACACTGAAATCACATTTCTATAATTAGGTCAATTTTTTTAGCCAAACTCGTTGTAAATCATATTTCTAATGAAAAGAAGTGCGCGCTATTAATACTGGTATTAAAATTTAGGTCAGCGATGACTCATTGGGTAGAGTGTCCAACTGACAGCTGCTTACCACTTGGCGATTATGTCACATGTGCCGTGTTTTCGGACCCTCCACCCCATCAGACGGACAGTTTTCCCCGATGCCAGACAAGCTTTACCCCTCTTACCCCCGTGAAGCCGCTGTCGGTAATACCTGACGGGCTTGTCCTCTCTCAACAAATTTTAAGCTGTTTGTAGCCTGTGTAAATGTGATGAATCAATTTATTATTCTTAAGAAAGTAGGCCTACACGACACTGTGGAATTAATTTTTGCATGCATCGTGTTTAACGTCCCACCACAGCTCCGAGTATTAAGATAATTTGAGAAGGGTTGGAAATGTTTGATAGCAATGATATAGGCCTATATATAATCGAATATAAATATAGATAATTGCCAAATATCAAAATCAATCAATTAATTTTTGCATGCATCGTGTTTAACCTCCCACCACAGCTCCGAGTATTAAGATAATTTGAGAAGGGTTGGAAATGTTTGATAGCAATGATATAGGCCTATATATAATCGAATATAAATATAGATAATTGCTGTACTCCATATTTCTAATATTACTTTATTGAAAATGATATTCCATAACCCTTGACATTGTAATTAATGACTAATGTAATTTGTTAGTTATGTTTCATAAAAATGTTTTGCCCTTCACCAGTTTAGGCTTCAGTTTTGTTTTAAAACTTGAAAGTTTGCCCACCACTGGTTTGCGTGATACCATGTATTGTGAACAAGTACTTTATATATTTCTTAACAACAACCAACGTGAACACTCACAGCCTAGAAAAAATTTAAATACTAAGACTAAGAAAATAATAATAATAAAATAACTAATAATAACATACAAACATACCTTCGATTCGAACACATCTCGATACGTGATTGCAATGTTTTTTTCTTCTCCATCCAAAGTCTGCCACTGTTTTGAATATTCCACACAATGCCTCCAGGTGTTGCCGTTAAAAACCAGTAACTTGCAGGGCTGTGTTGCATTCTGATGAATAAGGCACTTCATTTTTCTGGTCAGAATGCCAGAAAAATGTGTTCTTGTTGACTATAATACGCCATGATTGAAGGATCGGGGCTAAACGTTTTCTTTATTTTGATTGGCCAAAATGGCACTCGGCAACAAACTTCGCGTGTATTCCTACGCGTGTAATGTTTATTTTTTAGGTGATTAGGTTAAAAAGAATTCCATTTTTAAAAAATAATTATTAAATACTGGCACATGCCGAATGTGTGGAGATCTAGGTTTTTAAGTTAGTACAAAGAGACGTGTAATTTAAAAAATTAAAATCTCCCACAGAGGTTGTTGCAACGAACTTGAACGATCAATTTCTTCGGTCTTTCGCCTACAATAATTTCTGTTTATAACGTCTAGAGTTATGGCCCTTGTTTCACTTTGTTGAACCTTGTGAACGCTCTAATGCCAAAAGTTAACATCCGATCTTTGTGAAATTCATATGCAATATTTAAATTAGGGAAACGAAGACGCCTATTGAATTTCAGCAATTTCCGTTTATTACTTCTAGAGTTATGGCCCTTGTTTCACTTTGTTTAACCTTGTGAATGCTCTAACCCCAAAAGATATCATCCTATCTTTCTGAAATTTATATGCATTATTTAAATTAGTGAAACGAAGAAGCCTATTGAATTTCATCAATTTCTGTGTATTATGTATAGTGTTATGGCCCTTATTTTACTTTATTGAACATTGTGAACGCCCTAACGCCAAAAGTTATCATCCGATATTTATGAAATTTATATGCATTATTTAAATAAGTGAAACGAAGAAGCTTATTGAATTTCAGCAATTTCTGTTTATTACGTCTAGAGTTATGGCCCTTGTTTCACTTTATTGAACTTTGTGAATGCTCTAACATCAAAAGTTATATGCTGATCTGTATGAAATTTACGTGAGTCATTTAAATTAGTAAAGAGAAGAATCCTATTGAATTTCAGCAATTTCCGTTTATTACTTCTAGAGTTATTGCCCTTGTTTGACTTTGTTCAACCTTGTTAATGCTCGATTGATGAAAGTTATCATCCGATATGTATGAAATTTATATGCATCATTTAAATTTGTGAAACGAAAAAGCCTTTCAAATTTCAACAATTTCTGTAGATTACTTCCAGAGTTGAGACCCTTGTTTCAATTTGTAGAACCTTGTGAACCCTCAAACAACAAAAATTATAATCTGATCTGTATGGAACTGTATTGTAAAGGCCCCCAATTACCTACAAAGGAAGAAATATGCGACAACCCTTGTCGACCGCTCGGACGATTTAGTCGCTGTGGGCGTATGTTTCGTTGCCTGGCAATCTATCTTAGTAATTATGAATAACAATTCTATTATTTAAGATGAACAACTTGGAACCAGAGATGCAGAATTTATTCCAATCAGTTGGTATATCATCTGACGATCCTGTAGATAAGGAAACAGTTGATTTTATATACGATTTTGTTGAAAAACATGGTGGTATGGATGCTGTTAAGAAAGAGATAGCTGGACGACCTGCCCCACCTCCACCACCTTCAGGTAAGCTATAGCACATGGTTTTTTTTTTATATCAATTGATTTCTATGTCAACAAAATTGAATATTATTATTTTTAACAATACCTGACAGTGGCTGACACTGTTAATGTTACAGTTGGAGTGTATGTTGTCTGGCAGGAATGAAAAGAGATGTTTAGTGGAAAGAGTTGGTATAATAAAAGTTGGTATAATTAAAGACGAAACATTTATTCATGTCTACGGTTAATGTTTCTGTTTTGATAAAAGGGTCTTTAAGCTGTTCAGTTTTATTTTGTATAATTACTATAATCTATTTAGTTATATTTAATCAGTTATTTTTAAAATATTTTATAGGTCCTAGAGGTGGAGCCCCCCCTCCTCCAGTGAGGTCTACCAATTCCTCCGCCCCACCTCCACCATATAGAGGGGCGCAACCACCTTTACCTCCTTCACGCTTTGCAGGAGGTCGTCCAGCTCCCCCACAATGTACTCCATCACGGACTGCTGTAAAACCCCCTAATGCAGCACCCCCTCCCCCACCTCCAGTTTCATCATCTAGACCCCCACCTCCACCAGGTGCTGGGATTCCCCCTCCTACTCCTCCTCCTCCTCCACCTGCTGTAGGAGCTGCACCCCCTGCTCCTCCACCGCCACCACCATCTACACCATTTGCTCCCTCCGGAGCCGTGACAGATGGACGATCTAATTTATTGGATGCTATCCGTGCTGGTAAAACATTACACTCTGTAGAGACAAGTTCGGGGGAAAGTATTGGTGATGAAAGAGATCAGTTGTTAAAACAAATTCAATCTGGATCCAAACTTAAAAAGGTAAATATTGTATAGGTGTTTATTTTTAAACACATTGTATGTTAATTTAAGTAGTAAATTCTGAAATGTTCACAACACTGAAAATCACTGAGGTGAGAGTCCGAAGTCTAATTGCATCAAGAAACTGAATCTTAATTACAGGGAGTAATTAAATCAAATGTAACATCATTTATAGGATTCATTTCTTGACTAGATGATGCATAAGGATATATTCTGTAAGTTTTCACATATTCAGTTTATGAAATCTATTTTAATATCAACAGGTTGATCATCAAGTGCAGGCCAAAACCCAATCAGTTAATGAACAAGATGGTTTAGTTGGAGCTTTAGCTAGAGCATTAGCTAATAGACAGAGAGCTGTTAGAGGTTCAGGTTTGTTGTCCTACTTATGCACTTGTTACTTATACTCCAGTCTGTTACACAGTACCATATTGTATTACTGGGCCAGGAGATTCTTAATAAACAATGGTGTAGTTCCTATTCAATTACTAAAATGCCATTGAAACAATTTATACAGTGTTACAGATCAAGTTTGCATTGGGTGGGATTCTGTTCATTTTTGTCTGAATTATGGCTCTTAAAGTAGCTATCATCCAAAATCTTCGACATTGAAAACATGATTTATTTGTTGGTTTAAATCAACATTGATGTTGTGATCTTACCGGGAAAAGATGGCCTTCTGATATCCAATATTTAAGACAAAATAAACATTTTACAATTGGTACACGAATCGTGTACCATAATACGTTTCAGCGCTAGGCACACTCCACAAGTCATGTCAAACGGTGACGCTATATTCTTATCTGGAGAGCAAGCCCAATAAATAATATCGGCGTAGACTGGAATAACCAGACGCTAGAGATTGAAATTCGATAGAGAATACTGGTGTATTTCGCCGAACCTAACTGATTAAAAATTACAGTAAAAACAGAAACGATTGAATGTAAATCAATTTATATACATTCATATTACATTATTGTATGCACTGCGACCCATTTTTGTCAATTTCTAGGTCCCAAGTATTAGCAACTTAGCTCCTTTAAAGTCAGTCAAAGTTCTGTTTTCAGTAATTATGTAAGGTTAAACTTTGAGATATTTAATTGAAGGTTGATACACTGCTGTATATCGCAGGGTTACAGATCAACTTCATGTTTCATGGATTCTGTTAATATCTTTTACGAAAATATTGCCCAGTATTGACTTAAAATCAATGAAAATTCTGCTGTCTGGAATTATTTTTGGTTACTGGTATTTAAATGAAATTTAGTACACTGTTTTACATATAGACCAGTAAATCTATGGAACAGACCCACTATGACCTAGAATAAATTTGCAGAAAGCTGGATTCAACTGTTTTTGTTTCTAGGGTATCAAAATACGAAACGTCTTCCAAAATCAGATTTTGAGTCAAGGCGAAAATCGATATTTGCTTTTTTGTATTCAGTTTTGTTTGTTTTGTGAAGGGTGGAACATGTGCCCTAAATGTATTCAATTACCTCGATTCCATTGAACACTGAAACGTTTCTATTGATTTAGAGCATTTAGTTTATTCTGTCAACCTTACCTGAATGAATAACATTGCTTTAGATTCTTAATTACATGTAAGACTGTCTTTTTAAAAAGTAAAAATACTAGCCATGGCAGTGGCGCTTGTCACTATCGGAAGTAAATATATTGCCATACTAATTCATCATTCTTTTTCTTACAGTCATCCTGTTAAGACATATAATATCCAGTGCATCAAGCAGATCTTTTGAATTCTGAGTTTGTTTTTTGATTTTGGCAACGGAATTAATGAAGAGGACTTGTGTCCACTCAGCTGCAGGTTCGGCTAGTCAGCTTCCTCAGTCGAACGACATTTTGTTATATGACGAATCCATTGGCTCGAGAAGGACTTGGTTGCCTTCTTCTCGGGCTGAGCATTTTGCCGCGCCTATCGTTGATTTTTCACAGCAGGTTTCGGGCCCCACTTCACCTCGCTCTTCTGCCGGTAAGGACAGCGAGTTCTTGAATTCCGATCCCAATTACTCCTATGTCACTTCGGTGATTGGGGAAATTTATAGGAGGATTCCGGATCATTGTACTCCTCCTCCCATGACTAGTTCAGTCCAATTTCATTCCTCTCTAGATAATATTTGGCATAGTCAGGAACCCTCCTTTTCGCCTTCTCTTCCTCAAGCAGAGGTTGTTGGGTTGACTTTGGACAGATGTAATAAGGCACTTAAGCAAAGCAAGTTAAAATCCTTTTCTGTGAGAAATCCGATGTCGTCTTTTAAGCAGAAGTTTTATAATATCCACGATACTGTTGACAACAAAGCTTACTCATCAAAGCCACCAAAGTTAGACGAGGATGCCTTTTTACTAAACCTCAAGGATAGTTCGTTTGTCTCTGTTAAGAGCTCAACTCTTCTAGACACTTCGGCCCTTTTAAAAAGTGCTGTGTCTGTTATTTCTTATCAGGATTGGTTAATGAAGGCTTTGGCCACTAATTTTCCGGGTGTCAGTGCTGACGTCCCTTCTCCCGACAAGTCTGACATGAATCTTCTTATGGCTTTGTCCAGATCTGTAGCGGATTCAGCTGACCTTTTGATGAAGGCCTCTTCTAACCTTGATTTAATGAGGAGGGATTTGTTTATTGTCCAAGGTACGCATCCCTAATAACTTAGAGGCTGTGGCTCCTCTTCTGTCTCAGCCTCTAAATTCAGACGCTCTGTTTAATGATGCAATTAAGGAATCGGCAGATCACATTAATACGGCTAGACGTCGTTGTTATAGTTTTCAGGTGCAGCCTTACAATTCGGATGCGAAGATTCCTCCTCAAGCAGGTCAACGTAATTCTCCTGGTTTGATAGACCGCTCTGTAAGAGATGTTCGTACATTTAGACAAAGCAACACCCAGAGAGGTAGGTCCGCTCAAGGTAGGGATTCTATCCTGCAGCCCTTTCGTGCTCGAAGGGGTCGCTAGCGGTTTGCCTCCTGTCGATCGTCTGGTAGGTGGAAGACTTCGTCTTTTTCAGAAGAATGGTCTTCCACACTACCCGACAATAATCTCCTTTAGAGGGTGAAGTTGGGATTTCGGATCCCATTGAAGGAAAGTCCCCCATTATCGATCACTCCTTCGTTCACAAAATCCCCCGCATTGCCGGAACAAAGACAGATTTTAGAGGAGGAAATAGAGTCTCTTCTCTCAAAGGGTGCCGCGGAGAGGGTTTCAAACCTTTTCTACCCAGGGTTTTATTCCAGGTTGTTTCTGGTGAAAAAGAAGAACGGAAAGTTAAGACCAGTTTTAGATCTAAGTCTTTTCAATCTTTACACCTCTCTCCCAAAGTTTCGGATGTGTACGGTAAATCAGTTAATTCAGGACATGGAGTTAGCCGATTTCGCAATATCAGTAGATCTTCGAGACGCTTACTTTCACGTGCCCATTCACCAATCATCAAGAAAGTACCTGAGGTTCGGCTACAACAACAAAGTTTACCAATTTGTATGTCTGCCTTTCGGCCTATCGTCAGCCCCTTCGTTTTTACACGGGTAATGAATTATGTTATGAAGACACAGCGCCTGTTAACCGGGGTCTATTCCTTGGCGTATCTGGACGACTCTCTCCTAAAACATCGCAATCCCTCGATTTAACAAACAGCAGGGATGAACTTTCTTAAACTCTTCCACTGACTGGGTTTTTTGATAAACCTCGAAAAGTCGGATTTGGTTCCTACTCAGGTTTTCGCGCATCTAGGTTTGACTTTTCAAACAACTATCAGCATAGTGTCTATTTCGGAAGACCGCATAAAGACTCCATCGGATTTTGAATGCTGTGTTAATCGCAGATCACCTGAGAGCCAGGACTGTTCTTCAGTTACTAGGAACACTCAACTCGGTGGCGTATTATATTGTTTTAGGGAAACTGTACATGCGCCCCTTTCAATTTATTCTGCTAAGTCAGTGGAAACCGTCCGTTCATCATGTCGACAGCATGATCAGAATTCGTTCGGTTTTCAAAGTTCATTGTCGGAAGTGGTTAGACCTAGCATGGCTTCGAACGGGCGTGTCATTTCTTCCAATCCCCCAGGTGTTTACTCTGTCGGCGGATTCAAGCAATCTGGGGTGGGGAGCTTCCCTCACTCCTCTAGGGTTGAGCGTACAGGGAATTTTGACAGTTGCACAGAGGTCTCTTCACATCAACAATTTAGTAATGCTGGCAATATCAGAGGCTTTACACCATTTTGCCCCGGTCTTAATCAATCAATCGGTTTTAATTCTGTCGGACAATACAACTGTTGTCTCTTACCTCAGAAGACAAGGGGGAACAAAATCACCAGATCTTTGCCTGTTAGTCTGGCACCTGTTACCATGGGCCCACAAACAGGGGATAAAACTTCTATTTTGTTACATTCCGGGAAAGTTGAACGTTCTAGCCGACATTCTCTCCAGACAGAATCAGATTTTGAGTATGGAATGGTCTCTTCATACCATGGTAACTGATCGAATTTTTCAAATATGGTCACGACCTCACATCAACTTATTCACAACAGCGTGGAATCACAAGCTCCCAATGTATGTCTCCCCTTGTCCGGATTCTCAAGCGTGGGCAGTTGACGCGTTAACTTTGAATTGGAACGGTTATGCGTTCCCCCCCCCCCCCTTTTGCTCTAATTCCAAGGGTATTGGAAAAGGTAAAGTTGGCAGAGTGCAGGATTCTACTAGTAGCACCCTGGTGGCCGAACCGTCCCTGGATAACTCTGTTGTTGGATCTTCTCTTCGATTTTCCGAGAGTTCTTCCAACTGGAGCGACAATGCTCAACCAGCCACGCACAAACCTTTTTCACAACAACCCCACGATCTTCAACCTTGTCCGGGATTGCTTGCGAGACGAGAGTTTTTCAGGAACATCTGCTGAAAGAATTGCCGGTGCTTGCACATTTTTATACACCCACATTGAAATGTGGTCGTATATTGTTGTCACCCCGTCCATCCGTATGTCTAGCCTCGTTCCTCGAGTCTCTTGCTAGAACTGGGGCTGAAACGCATTATGGTACATGATTCGTGTACAAATGGTAAAATATTGGATATCACAAGCCCATCTTTTTCCGCTAAGATCACAGCATCAATGTTGATTTAAATTGACAAATAATTTGTGTTTTCAATGTTGAAGATTTTGGATGATATTGAGTTAGAGACTTAGCTACTTTAATTTTTGTTGAGGGGTCATACATGTACATTATCGGACCAGATAAGGAACATGTTTTCTAGGCCAAATAGGTAGGATTTTGTAATAATATATAGCAAAACAACCTAAGGAAACCGCATTTATGATTCTTGCGATTAGCAAAAGTATCGTTAATACTATCTCTGTCATTTTCAATCCCTGGCAT